AAAACAAGATTAAAATATTTTAAGTAACATCGTTTAAATTTTACCATCATTGTTTTTTAATACTTATTTCAAAATGTTTACGACTTGTACTCTCTATGCTCTGCACCTGCACGGTAAGGCGGCTGCAGCGGCGCTACTCCACGTGCGTCAATACTCTTGGCCCCCGACGGGCGCTACTGACGCTACTCTGTGCTGCAGCGGAGACCTGTGGCCAGGGGATAGAATCGGAGCCACCTTGATCGGAGCGCTTAGACCGCCAACCACGCGCGTCCCTTTCCCTTTACCCGCGTTTTGCAGATAGAACATTGTGTCGGCATTCTGCAGATAGAACATTGTGTATTCCGCACGCTGCAGATAGGACATTTCTGTCAGGACGCGTCGCTTTAAGCGCACATATTCGTTCACTAGTGTAATAGCTAGGTAAGAGGCGAGGCTAGGACTATGGTTGCCCTTATGTATGAAATTCAAAACTCTTCCATGAATTTAGGGCACGATTGTCACAGTCGAGAGGTCGCCAACTCGCATAATAACGGTCCATTTGGAGCCCCATTTATACAACCCCTTTGCGAGCAACCCTCTCGCAAATGTATCGTAAACTGATACTTACTAAATATTTTAGTAAATTATGTATAATTTCCATATAAATTCCACTCATTTTTATAGTGTATTTTACGAAACATTTCGTAACATTTATTTTCGTAAAATCACGAAAACTTTATACAGTGTGCATTAAGTCGTGGGGAATGCGAGGGGCAGGAAGAGATTGGACGCGGCACTCGGCAATGGGGGTAGGAGGGAGGGGAGGATTACGGCAGTTCTGATTGTTCTGATCAGGCGAGGACACTCTCCGACATATCGTGGTCACGCCGCGCGTGTCCGCGGTGTCATCCTTTAGGGCTCCCGATACCTGCAACAGGTGGCCGCAGTGGCGAACTAAACTAAGGACTGGGAACCACGGAGAAGAGTTGTGGCCGAGGAGGTCTATGACGTACAGTGCACGGGAATGAGAGTTGGGGCACAGCAAGCAGGCAAGGATGTACGGGGGGGACGCCAGCCTGCGAGCCGCGGGGTAGGCAGACCCGCACGGCGGCCAGCGCCCGCAGGTAGGCCAGCCGCACACCACGCGCGCTCGACGGGCCGGCGCGGGCGGGCGGCGGCAGGCGCGCAGAGCCCTGTTTGTATAGCTACACACAACCGACACAGCCGCAGGAAGCTTTGTCTGAACCGACTTTAGAAATAAGTCCGCTCGGCATCGCTCACGCCCCTCTCCCCCCACCCGAACAAAAATAAAAAATATAGGGGTGTACTCTCCTCATTCCGACGCAGTCTTTCGTGACTTCGGTGGTCGGAACATCCGCCCGGGGGTACTGAGACTGTTGACGCGTACGTTGGCTGAACTGTACTGACCCACCACAGGTCATGCGAAGCTCCGTTACAGCCAGATTCCTAGGTCTTATAAACGCACCCGTCACCACAACAAGGTGCCAGGAGAAGGGAACCGCTGCTTACACCCGCTTTTCGTGCAATAAGTACTCGCCAGGGAACTCCCACTGCCCGAATCGCCGTGACTCGAACCCCGGTTACAGACCCGAGTCTCGTCAACTTTCGACACAGCAGGAACCACGATGATGGTAACCACTACGTCGTCGTAACCGAGGTCGTAACTCGACGAGGCGGGGAGAAATGACGGGTTTGAAGTCCACTTTAAATTTATTTTGTTCCCGGAGAAAAAAAATCTCTTTGACAGAGATCCGAACCAGCGACCTGCGAATCTCTGGTGCCACACGGAACTCGCTCGGCCACGACGGAACGATGCGGGCGGCCTACCTTTAATGTGCATTGAAATGTCCACTGACAGACCGGCGCTACTCGAGTAAATTAGCTCGATACAAATTAGCTAGTTCACTGTAAGTTTTTAACAGTGTTGGGGGGTATAAACTGGGAAATATGGCACCGCAAAAGTACACGCCTGTTGTGCCCATCGCCACACTCTGACCCAGCGAAACTGTCCTCCATTGCGTATCCCGCCGGAGCCCCTGCGAGGTATGCAGGCCCGCCGCGCCCCACTGCTGACCCGGTGGCCTACCCCACTACCGTTAGGCGCTCCGCTTTAGCTGCAACCTCCTTTCGTCCGCATCGTGCAAGTGTCTGTGATCCGCATAGCAAAGGCTAGTTCTCTAAACAAAAAATGGTAGTAATGCTATCCATTTTAAAAAATCAGCACGGCAAATACAAATGCATCGGAAAAGTTTTAATAATTTTTGGTTGATAATTACAACATAACATTAACCACAGATACGCTTTAATAATTAATAAAACATGTTTACGTATCTTTATACATCAAATTTAGGGGTGCCAAACGAGCGCGCTCCCGCTTCGCTCTCTCGATCCTTGAAACCACTCGACGTCTCCACCGTCATCATGTGGTGGTGGTGGGAGGACAGAGGCTCCGGCTTACATCGTGGCTTCAATCTCAATCGAGACTTCAACGCTAGGACAGGACAGGGTGTGTATGACACGAGCCGCAAACCACTTCCACAGACGAGGGAAAGTAGCTCCGAATGGTCCGTTGTTGCAGCAAGCAGGCAGCCATCTCTGAGCACGGAATATCTTTGAATGGACGTTCAAGGACGAGCCGCCTGAGGGCCTGCAGATCGCACGACGCCAGGATCTCACCCAGATCTGAATGGTAGTAGTCTGGATTATATTTCGTCTTGTCGTTGACAGGGCAGTAAAGCTGGAGCGTCTGCAGAGACGATGCGAAGGCACGGACGAGGGACATCATGGTTGACTTGTTGGTTGAATCAAAGGCGACGCGCAGCCACAGCAGCTTCCCGTACTTAGAGGGGGGGAAGGTCAAACTTGGACCCTCGTAAGATCTTACGTACAGACTGCGCAGATTGGGCATGCTCATCACATGTTCCAGCTGATCATCATTTACATTCCTTATGGATAGCTCCTCGAGCTGAAGCGGCAGGTCTGGGTACTCTGAGTCGTAGTCAAACTGCACGTGTAGTCGTTTCAAAGAAGAGAGTTTTTCAACCACCTCCATGACCCCCGGTACAACTTCACCCTTTATATGGAGCTCTTCGAGGTGCGGCAGGTGAGGGGCCAAAACCCGCAGCAGCTTGTCCGAGTCCATGCCCTGTAAGCCTCTGATAGCGCGAACATTTGTCCACCTATGTCCGACTCGCAGGATGTCATCCACCTTTAAGTGACCGTTGTCGAGATCCTTAGGAACAATGGAGAGAGCTGGGTACATAGGCGGACCGACGTACTCCGCATGTGTGGCAGGGACAGCGACGACGTCAGCCTGGGGAGAGGGAGAGGGCGGATGAGGCTACACTACACCAAAAAGATCGATGAATTTAACAGGCCGGCACGCTTGTCAGCTTACCTTTTTTAGCTTGCCATCTCTCTGCAGCTGCAGCAACAAAAGCCGCAAGACGTCGCCGAAGCCGTCGCTGAGCTGAACAGCAGCCTTCCTGGTGGAGCCGTCGCCCTCCTCTGTGACGATGCTGCACTTGTTCGTGGTGAGTCAGAGGTGAGAAGCGGACCCATCCGGCGCAGCGATCCGGCCCTGTCTGCGCGCCGCAGCGCGTCGCTATGGGGACATCGGCAGAGAGACCGCAATGGGACCGGACCGGAGAGGGACGAGAGGAGGACCGCACCGGGTCCGGATTTGCGGGTAGACTCGGGCCGCCCGCCGGGTGGCCAGGCCGGAGATTTAGGTCCCCCCCCCCCCATTAGTTTCTGGTCCCGGGACGCTGTGCACCTCCTGGACTGTACTGGTTGTCGCCAAGGCCGCCACCGCGGCGCCCGCTCAACAGTATTGTTCCATTAAAATGGGAGTTCAAGGGTTTTTGTGGTCGTGCGATTAACAGCAAAATAGCCTTTCATTTACCCAATTTCGTTCCACACGGGGCGGGGAGCCCAGGCCAATGCCCGTCGGTAGAGGGTGAGGGGGGGGGGGCGTTTTTCGGGAGCTCCGTAACACCCTTCTAGGCGTTGCCCCCTGCAGCCACACAACCGCACACAACGATGCACGGGTCGGGAGCCCCAAAGGATACGTCCCTGTTTGTAGCTACACGATTCTAAGGACTTGTCAATTCCACACGGGTTACCACTCCCGCTGTGGCTGGGATGGCCCTTACTCGGAACGCTTTCGCCGTAGGTCGAACCTTTGCCCCTAATGGGACCCCAGTGCCGAGTCATCGTCACCCCCGGTCCAGAGGGACAGCGTTAACCACCAGACCGTTCGTTCATCCACGAAGGGACCCCGTTGAAAAGACGGATTTAAGTTCAACTCGAAGAGTTTGACCGGTTCAGAAAAATGTGACTGGGATGGGAGATTCGAACACCTGACTTGCGGCGCACGGGGCCGACTCTCTACCGGCGCGGCTACGGCGCCACAGTGTGAGTGGCCGGGTGAGCTAGGCTCATGTTATAAAACAAAAGTTAAAGAGCTGACATTTTTCGACAACTTTTGTTTTAAAACATTTTTTGTGGCGAAACGGACGAAATTTTCGCCCAAAGGGCCGCAATTTGACGAGTTACCCCTTAGGAAGCATTCTTAAAAGTTATAAAAAATAATTGAAATAGCAGCTTTTTGAACAAATACCCAAAATGACCCCTAAATATGAATTTAAGCAAAAATCTTTGATGTGCCCTTCGATGACATATTTAGAACAACAATTTCCCAAAGTAGAATGAAAATCGTGAATTTACACTTGGCGGGGCGGGGTTCCCTTGTCAGCGCGCCTGGTAGGTAGGCAACAATAAGTGCATGCGTGTACTGCGGGTTGGCCCACCCCGAGTCTCGCAGGCGCCGAGCTCTCCAATTGGCCGATCGGACGAACTTTCTGGACTTTCTGGACGATCGCTAACCTGCTCATGTTGGTCCGTGTCCGTGTCGGCAAAAGCGGAAAAAAAATAAAATAAAAAAAAGTGCGCTGGCCGGGAGTCGAACCCCAGACAGTTTCAGACTGGTCACAATTATTGAGCAACCTCAGCTGCCACAGAATAAGTGAAGGAGATAAAATATATATCTGCCCTAGCCGGGAGTCGAATCTTGGGCGAACAGTTTGACACGAGCATGATTTAGCGCGCTCGGCCGCCCACCCGTCTTCTCCACTGGGCGTTCAAAGTCGGTCCTGTATTACGGGAGACAAGGAGCGACGCCAGTCAGCGGCACCGTAGAATGATTCGTTCCCTAGAGCGATAGTCCGTATTTCGCCTCTATGGCTCAGTCGGTAGCGCGCCTGCTCAGAGCGCGGGAGGTCGGTGGTTCGACTCTCCGTGTGTCTGAAATTTTTCTCAGGCCACCAAATTTTAAATGGACTTCAAACCCGTCATTTCACCACGCCCCTCTCGTGGAGTTCCGATGGTGTAGTGGTTACCATTGTTGGTGGCACTGCGTCATGGGTGGCTAAAGTGTCGGCTCTGGGCCGGGATTCGCGCTCTGCTGCCTGCCACCTTGCTATGGTAGCGGGGTGGATAATAAGACCTAGAAACTGGCTGAAAA